GAGGAAGCAAGTGGATGGGTAGAACTTTTTCATGCAATTGAAGTTAAATTGTTATTAGCTTAAAGTAGACTGTTATAACTGTAAGATGTATTATGAAAGCCTCACGGTAATCAGAAAGCAAAAAATCATAATAGATACACAAATGATAAAGAGAAAAGAATCAAAACGTACCACTCCAAAATATTATCAGTTGACAAAGGAAGACAGCAAGAGAGGAAGCCTTTTAATTCGATGTCATCCTGCCTATTTGTTATAGCTTTGGTTGCCTGTGTTTTTCGTTGTCTTATCCAAAAAATCATTACCAAACCTAATGTCAAAGAGCTTTTTCCCCCATGTTTTCTTCTAGTTTTATGTCTTTGGGTATTACACTTAAGCCTTTAATCAATTTTAAATTAACTTTTATGAGTTGTGTAAGATAGATGTCCCATTTCATTCTCTTTGTATATGTATATAAAGGTTTCCCAACACCATCTATCAAAGAAACTATACTTTCCCTTTGGCACCCTTGTCAAAGATTAGTTGATATTAGGTATGTGGGCTGATTTCTGGGCTTCCTGTTCTATTCCCCTGGTATGTGTACCGGTTTCTATGCCAGTACCATACAATTTTAATTATTGTAGGTTTGTGAAATATAGTTTGAAATCAGAAAGTGTGATGCCTCCAGCTTTCTTCATTTTTAAGATTTCATTGGCTATTTGGGGTCTTTCGTGATTTCCTACAAATTTTAGGATTGTTTGTTCTAGTTCTATAAAAAAATGCCATTGAAATTTTAATAGGGATTGCATTGAATCTGTATATTATTTTAGGTATTATGGATGTTTTAACAATATTAATTCTTCCCATCCAAGAACATGAGATATCTTTCCATTTGTGTTTTCAGTTTCTCTCACAAGTGACTTATAGTTTTCAGTGTACAGGTTTTTCACCTCCTTAGTTAAACTTACTCTTTAGTATTTTATTATTTTTGATGCTATTGTAAATGAAATTGCTTTCTTAATTTCTTTTCTAGATAATTCATTCATGTATAGGAATGGAAATGATTTTTAATATTGATTTTGTATCCTGCAACTTTACTAAATGTGTTTATTAGTTCTAACAATTTTTGGGGTGAAGTCTTTACAGTATTCTATATATAAAATCACTTTTTGTGTTTATTTTTGTAACTCAATAACAAAAAAGCAAGTAATCCAATTTTAAAATGGGCAAAAAACCAGAATAAACATTTCTTCAAAGAAGATACACAAACGGCTAACAGGTACATGAAAGATGCTCAACATCATCAATCATCAGAGAAATGCAAACTAAAACCATTATAAGATATTACCTCATACCTGTTAGGATGGTGGTTATTAAAAAGACAAGAGATAACAAATATTGGCAAGGATTTGGAGGAAACAGAGCCTTTGTGTACTATTGGTGGGAATGTAAATTGGTGTACCCACTATGGAAAACAGAATGAAGATTCCTCAAAAAATTAAAAATAGAACTGCCATATGATCCAGCAATCCCACCCCTGGATATATATACAAAAGAAAGAAAGTCAGTATGTTAAAAAATAAAAACAACTCTGTGCTCCCACGTTCATTGTAGGATTATTCACAATAGCCAAGATATGTAAACAACCTAATGTCCTTCAACAGATGAATGAATAAAAAATATGTGAGATATATATATATATATATATATATATGGAAACATCATTCATTCTTAAAAACAGTAGAAATGCTGCCATTTGCAACAACTTGATGTATCTGGAGGGCATTATGCTTAAGTGAAATAAACCAGACAGAGAAAGACACATACTGTATGGCATCACTTACATGTGAAATCTATGAAAGCAAATAAATAAAAAACAAACAAACAAACAAAAACAGTTTCATAGAATGGAATGGTGAGAATGGCAGTCAAAGGGTACAAACTTTCAGTTATATGAAAAATAAATTCTGAGGATCTAGTGTACATCATGGTGGCTACAGTTAATAATATGGCATTGTATACTTGAAAGTTGCTGAGAGGAGATCTTAAATGTTCTCACCACACACAAAAAAGCATTAACTATGTGAGTTGATAGAGGTGTTAATTACTTTGACCTTGCTAATTATTCCATAATGTGTGTATATATATATGTATATTTACATGTATTAAATCATCATGTTATATACTTTAAATATATACAATTACATTTCTCAATTATCCCTCTTTGGGGGTAAAGGTAGAATGTAGCTGTTTGGAGGAGGATCCCCATGGGACTGAGACTGACTCTGAGTGGTTGGCCCTAGCCAGCTGATACTGGTGGCTCTGATGGGGCAAAATTAGGCTGTTTCTAGGAATGTGAGGAAAAGTAACACCTGGAAACAAGAACTAACTACTGTTTCTGGAACCAACTGGCACTGAGAGGAACAAGATGTAGACTGGAAGGAGCATTCATTTCTGCCTCTGTTATGGGTTGGATTGTATCCCCTGCAAAATTCACATGGTGAAGTATGCCCCAGCACCATAGAATAGGAGCTTATTTGGAAATAGGGTCATTGCAGATGTAATTAGTGAAGATGAGGTCATACTAGAGCAGGGTTGGTCCCTAATCCAATATAATTGTGTGTCCTTATAAAAGGGGCAATTTGGACACAGAGAGAACATACTGAAAGTAGGAGAACACCCTCTGAAGATTAATGCAGAAATCAACGTGAATTGTTTCTTCTACAAACCAAGAAATACCAAAGGTTGACAGCAAACCACCAGAAGCTAGGAGAGAGGCATGGAACAGATTCTCTCTCACAGCCCTCAGAAGGAACCAACACTGCTGACACTTTGTTCTTGAACTTCTAGCCTCCACAGTAAATTTTTGTTTATATCAAAAACAAACTAAAAATCGGAGTAGTCATCATTAACAACAAGATAAATCAAAATTGTGTCCCACTTGATATAGGATGCAATTAGAAGAATACAATGTCATATGTGACATTTCTACTGGAAATGCATACCTTTAAATTATGCAGAAGCAGTAAACAATCCCAAATCGGGAGATGTTCTTTATAATAACTGGCTTGTGACATTCAAAAGTGTCAATATCACACAAACACACACACACAACACACACACACACAAAGACTGAAGAAGAACTATCCCAGTCCAAGGTGACTAATGAGATGTAACAACTAATGCAATGAATGATTCCGAACTGGATCCTTTTGCTATAAGACAATTGGTGAAACTTCAAGGGATCTGAGGACTAGATGATGGTAATGTATTAGTGTTAACTCCCTAACAATATTGCAGTTATATAAAAGAATGTTCTTATTTATAAGAAATACATAATAATTCCGATGTGATGGGGCATCAGGTTGACAAGTTACTCTCAAATGTTTCAAGAAAAAATATTTTACTCTGCTTGTAATTTTTTGTAACTTTGAGATTGTTTCAAATTAAAATTATTTTTAAAATTGCCTTGAAAGCACCTGCAAATCGTGAGAGAATAAGCTTTTGGGTTTGCTGGTTTTAGATCTGTTGATAGGTATGAATTATGGATTAGATCCTTTTCAAGGTTATTTGAAAGAGACAATTAAAGATTGAACTTTCTTTTCAATTACTGTTTGGTGATTTGACTGTGATTTTGTGAGTATAACTTCGTGAATTGACCCAGCCACCTAGGCTCAAATTTATTAGGGTTCTAGGTGAAATCATACATCAGTGACTAATGTAAATTGTTATACTACTTGCACAGACACCGCTAAAATTATATGTATCAGCGGTTATAAATATGCACAAGTTATTAGATGCAAATAGCAGAACAGTTATTTACATACAACTTTTTGTACTAAGATGTGATTAAGAAGGAATTGAAGTTTAGAGTTTATATTAGTTATATTTGTAGAGAGCCAAGCTTGAATCTGTACAGTCACATAATAGAAAAACTCCTACCTACAGAAAGAGGTATTTATGAAGTTTTTCATATTTTGGTCCCACATATTATGTGATTATTTGTGTTTGACTTACAGAGACCAAGCAGTGACAATTACATAGCTATAACTCTTGTTGCAGTGAGTCTGTCTTTGAATGTAGGAACTTAATATTAATTTTTAAATTTTTATCTGTAAAAGCTATAATCTTATTTCTTCTTTTCTATTTTACTGAAGTTTTAATGTATAACCCTGAAATAACATAGTGAAATGAAAATTGCTTTTAGTGGATGTTATAATAAATATATCTGCAGAGTATTTTAGAGCTAAGTTTAGTTTACTCTTGCTCAAAATAGGTACTATACGGAGAGAAGATATTAGGAAATTGTTACATAAAGCCACATATTTGCAAAGTTGTTCAAGTGCTTGTGGTTTACAACAGATTAATTCTTGGTCACTTTTCCTTTCAAATAAATATGTCAGATGTCACATTATTAGACAGGAAAATGAGGTAACAGCTCAGAGAGAGCTGTTATAAATACTGTTATTATTTATAGAGATAAGTAATAGGGAGGTTTTCAAAGAAACCTTTAGAAACTCTATTAGTTCAAAGCTCTATTAAAAGCAAAGTGGTTTTGACGAGGGGAGACCAACAAATGACTATCTAAAGGCAAAATTGTTTTCACGATGATCAACTCAATAAAGGATCAGTCCAGGCAGTCAAGCACTCAGTTGAACACTTTGTAGTCGAATCTCCACAGTGCATCGACAAAGGCAGACATTTTGTTTTATTTAAGTCCCCATTTACAACATACCAACTGAAATAGTTCAAGCCTAATTTTTTTTCCAGAAATTACTATTATAGATTAAAATTACATAGCCCCTTAGTTTAAGAGAACTATCTAAATATTAAATTGCACTATCACCACCATAACCATCACTACAAAGTGTGATGGATACACTACAGGCTTATGACTCATGGAACTGTCAATGCTTAATCATAAACCTTATAGACCAATGTAATAAACTCAGTATACTTGAAAGTGAAAACCTCTACTTCGTATTTTAAGTTACATCTGCTTTTATATTATCTTTTGCCTTTAGACGCAGATATCATACCCATGAGACGCGAAGAGTTTGTAAAAGGTATCACACTGGTAAGTGATATTTTCTACACTAGTAAGTTATTTCAACAAACCACTGCTAACTTAAAACTATCAATTAGTAGACCAGTGAGACTGATTTGAATTGGTGTTAAAAATCTTTATCAGATTCATATGCATAAAAATGTCATCTGCCCTTACTGGTAAGGGGAAGTTATTGGATATTTTATTATGCTCTCCTTGACCTTCCAGCATGTACTTCTAATTTCATTGCAATTCCTCTAAAGAAAAATAGAATCCTGATTATTGTATGAGATAAATATACCAAGTCTGGTTTGTGTAGGTTATTGAATCTAATTTTTTCATGTGTCTAGCCTAATGTCCCACAGCAGCATCAAAAGGATTTTTAAATTTTATTAAACTAGGTCATCATTAAATAGTTGTATTTTTAAGTTGTATAAGAAAACGTGGTCATTACACAGCCTTTATAATATAATATACCAAACATTACAATTCTCTTTGTAAGGAATATGCAAATTTTCAAGTTTTATTATTCTGAAAGCAGGTAAATTTCAAAGGTTTTCAAGAACATAATTATAGTTCAAGTCTACCTTTCTCCAGTCAGCTAAAAAGGAATCTTGATGCGTATTGCTTAAGTGACTTGGTTTTCCTTTAATATGAATCTCATGATCTGCTTTGCATTGCCAAACCATCCTGCAGGGGGATTCTCATTTGATCAGGAAAATCACTTTTAATAGCTGCCTACTTCGTAAAATACCCATAAAATGGATGTAAGTTTCCAACAGCCTTCTGACTCAGCCTTCCTTGGTAAGCTCATCTGAAGCTATGTATCCACCTGCAGTTTAGCCAAACAGCTATATACTCTTTCTAAGATACCTTTTCTTCGATTGGGCTGTCTTTTCACCAGAAATGCCCTCCTTCATCCTCTTCCTGCAAAACATACACAACTTTTGATGCAAACTTCATGTTGCACATTTTCAAAGAAGCCCCAGTTTTCCCCTGAGACCCTCAGTGATCTCTGCCTCCTCCAGACCTGTGCAGCCTTACTCTCTGCGTCACTCACTTCACAGTTACCAATGGTAACTACACAGTTATTACTGTGTGTGTAGTTATGTTCAGCCTACTCAACCAGATAGTACGTCTTTTGAAGTCAAAGATCACGACTCATGACTTCTTTATCTTTTATAGCCCCTAATTCAGAGTTTTGCACACAGCAATCATGAATTTTTAAATCTAGAAAGAATCTTAGGAAATAATCTCAACCATTTTAGACAGGTAAGAAACCTAAATCTGAAAGGTTAAAGCAAGGCTAAATAATCAATTGGTGATTAACGAACGCCAGATTTACTCCTGAGTGTTGGAAAGGGTTTTATTTTTTTTTTCTGTTTTTGAACTGTTGTTTGAGACCATCTTTCTCACACTTGTGGATGCATCAGAATCATATATGGGCTTGTTAAAACACTGGTGGTCCTGAAGCCCAGTGTTTCTGAGTTAGCAGGTCAGTGATGAGGCCTGAGAATCTGCATCTCTAGTAAGTTCCCAGGTGATGGCTGATGTCAATAGGTCTTTTTCATTTATAAATGAGAGCATGGCTGATTGTAACAACTTTCTGGAAGGCAATTTGGTGACATACAGTGAAAGCTTTAAAAATGTATATACCTCTCACGCCACACTCTAGCTCGTACTGATTTATCCTAAGAAAAGAACAAAACAAGTTATCAAAGATGGAAATATTCTATATCTTGATGTGATGATGGTTAACCAGGGGTATAAATTTGTCAAAACTCATCAAATCATGTACCTTTGGTACCAAATAGATACTTTCTTGGAAATTATACCTCAATCAAGTTAATTTAAATTTATCCTAAAAGTGTAAATAAGGAATAATTTTTTTTTAAGTTGCAGTCATGGCATTGACCACCTAGTCACTTACTTCAAAATAAAGTAGGGACAGTGTTGGGTAAGCAGTGGAGTGAAAGGTCTTTTGCATGGTCTTTGCAGTAAGGTTTATAAGTATGTGAAGAGGTCAGAGTTGAGAGTGTGTGTGTACCCAGAAAATGAGGGTAGCCCTGCAGCCACTTCTCTGGTTTTCAGTGCTAAAGACTGCAGGGCTGTTTTAAAGACTCACCTGTTGAAAGTTCCCCATAAAGTTAGACTGTAGGAACCTTGACAGGACCTTCAGAAAGGCACAGTGGTCCAAAGACCCAAGTTTTCTGCTTGGGTTCCAGCCACTGCCTCGAGTTCACCGTAAGGGTTCTGCGGCACTTTAAAGTTGAGTCTCAGGTGACTTCATGGTCACACCTCCCTCAGAGAGGGTGAAGCAAATAAAGAAATGGCAGGGCAGTAGCATTTCTAACCAGCTTTCTGGGATCAAGAACAGGCTTGCCGTTTCTGCATCATCTTTCTGCTTTCTCACCTAGATTGTCAACTCCTTGGAAGTGCTTGCTCATCCTTCTGTCCCCTGGAGCCCTGCTTTACTCTTTACTGCTGAGATTATGTTTCCAAAACTTTCATTTCAGTCTAGTGGAAATATATCAATGTAGTAATTTAGGCAGATACTAACCAGCATATTTGGAAGGTATTTGCAACAGTATTAGAAATTATCTTTTAACAAAACATTAAAGATAGCATCTATTTTCTTCCTAAGTGAACTTCCAAATTCAGTTTTCTTAATTTTAAAAGTAAAAAACAATGTTTTCCTTTCTGTATCCCAGAACTGCAAATGAATGTAGTTTCTAAAACTTTTGCTGAGTCATATATTTTCATTAGCCATGGTGATCTTACAACCGAAGTTTAGCTATAGGATATGTTAAAGATACATGAGGCTGAATATGAAGTAGTTAGAATTTATTGCGTTACATGGTATTGCAAAATTAAGGCTAGCTGCTTTTTTCTTACTTTAAACACATATAGTCTGACTGCAAAGATGCTTTGAGGTCAGCTCTTTCAAATAATAAGTTATATTTTAGGTAAAACTAAAATAAAAATTTGTTAACATAGGGGTGAAATTGTCTGGGAAATGCCTGCATTTGTGAGCATCTGCTAGTGTCATTAATGGTTAATCCTGTAGAACAAGGGCCATTAGAGGTGCGAGCATGATATCATGGCAGCTATTCTTAATGCTACAACAGAAGGAATTCTGTGGATAAAGAGCACTCTACTGCCTCTGTTTACCTGAGCCTCCTCTTGATTCCCATATAAAGTGTGAATCCCACTCATCACTTTCCTTTTGTTGAAAACAAAATTAACCTTAGAATTTTCTGCTTTGTACATTTGTGCCCTCTAATTCTTTATCCATGGTGCAGACGTCTGCAAACTGCTGTTATTTTGTATGAGAAAGCGGTTTTCATCTTGTAAGAAGGCTAAGAATATCTCTTATGGAATCCAAGTCTAGGAAGTAGGTACTGTCAGAGAGATGAAGTGACTTGCCCAAGGCCACTTTGTCGATGGCCACAGAGAGATTTAAATTCTGGTCTGTCTGACTGCAGAGTCCCAGTATATTTGTCCATATATCAGAATTTTAGACATTTGTTCCTACTTTTTAAATGTTCTTATTTATTTCTGGTCATCCTTCCTTATACCCCTATCGAAATCTTAGACAAATTTCTTTTGAGTGAATTGTCTTTAAATAGATTTTAATGTTTCCCTCTAGTGAGCTATTTTCTACAGTAGAAGCTATGCTATATAACTTCCAATAGTTATTTGTCTTACCCCAAATATCGCCCTCTCAAATGAGATTTTCCCTGACTGCTGTACCTGCGATCACCCGTTTACTCTCTGTAGTGATTACTGACTTTATGTTCTTCAAAATATTTTTTTCACTGTCTCAATTTACATTATTTACTTGTTTATGTGTATCCCGTCTATTTCTTCCCAATGGGATGTAAGATACCTTGGAGCATGAAACTCATCTACTTATCCCACTTTTCCCCTGGCAGTGTGCATACTGGGCATCGAATAAGGCTCAACAGACTTTGGTTGAATGAGTAAACACTAGGTACTTAATGCTGGGCCAACAATTAGCAGGGGGATGACATCATGCGTACACTTGGCTGCAGTTCTCCTGGTAAGAAAGCAGTATATTTTTGTTTCTAGTCATTACTTTCCTACAGAGCTTTTCAAATGGGTTCCAGTGTAACTAAGCTGAAAATTATTGCCATTAATATGCTTCCTTTCCTCTAGAAACTTATATAAATGAGATAAAAGATTAAAAATATTATTCTCTTTTGGTTACATGTGAGCAGTTTATATTTTAAGGTCTTCAAAACGTTTTCCTATGTGTATTCACAAAATATCACATTTTGTTTAATTATTAATTTCAGCCATTTGCAAGCATTTACTATTGGAGAAAAGTGAATATTAACAAGGAAATCAAAATCAAAAACATCTCCAAGGTTTTTTATTTTCATAACCTAAACTCATTCACACAGTGCTTGGTTATACATGACTTTTTCTCATTTCTTCTAAATCAAGCATGCACTTTTTTCCTATTGGTAAGTGAATACTTATAGATTGTTTAATAAATGTGATTATAACCACACACTTAAAGCTCAGTCACTTTTAAATGCCTTGTTATGGTAAACTGAGAAAAAGATTGACATTAAATATCATGGAAAATTAACTGTTTCCTAGTGAATGAATTATATTTTATACCATGTTTAGTGATAATACCCTTTCCATGGGTAAAAAGCAGGAAGCAGGAGTAGACCACAAGGTGGTTAGTGAAGTCAGAAACTGTGATGGGAAGTTCTCCTAACCGGAAACAGTTTTGAAATAGGTATAAACCCCGGAGTCATTTTTATTCAGTGCATTTGAGCTGATGTTAACACTAAGCCATATACACACATATTTGGATATATACATTTATAAATATAAATATAAGTATAAATATAAATAAATAAATAAATGTGTGTGTGTGTGTGTGTGTATACACACTTAGCCTGGCCTTGTTTAAAAGTATTTAAAGTGACTTTTAATCATATTATTTGTTGTTCATGATAATCCTTCTTAGAAGCAGGTGTTAGGTATTTTCC